ATGTACTGTTTAGCTGTAGAATGAGAAAGCTTGCTCTAGCCAGTGGGCGGTGCTGAGTTTTTGGCTCAAGTGTTTTCATCATGGTGGTTGGGTCACAAACTTTGGCTGAATCCAAATGTATACCCTCTGGACTTGCAGACTGAGCCCTCACAGACTTCAGTCGTACGCACTGTGACGAGTTCACCGTCATCATGTAAAGTCAGTGATGGTAGACACCACAAGTCACTGATAGATAGTCCTCGAGACAGTTTTACTCTTTGCCATGGAAATGTTCTATTGATGATTACAATTGTTATCTGTCCCTGCAGATAACAAGATATAAATCTCATGTTTAGGGGTGTTTTGTGAGTGAACAAAATAAAGTTCAGTATAACATACAGGCTGCGGACATTCAAATACAGAGATGTTTGTGAATAAGGATCAAGCTGTGACTAAATTAATAGGGTAAGCCTATAAGTTACATCAGAAGATCTTCTTTTGTTGTCTTTTGGCCACTTTTGCAATAATACAATGCATTTTGATTCCCCTCTATAGCCTATATGTCTACATATTTCTGTATCATGATGTTGTTGAATATTATTTCTGGCCTACACGATTCAAGTAGAGTTTTAATAGGCTGCAGTAACTGTTTTACACACACATGAGTTTTTTTTTTTTTTTTTTTTTAGTCGGCTATTGAAAAGAAAAACTACTATGTCACATCTGTATTTTAATGAATTGTGGGAAATTAAATCAGTCAGGTCTGCTGAAGTCTGCACCCCAAGCAGACTCTCTGTAAGTTGGCAGAAAGTCCACTCCAGGCCCCTTGTGGACTGGATGAATTGTAGATTTGGACAGACCTAAGTACTCCCAGACTTCTCGGGAACGCGGCTGCAAAGTCTGCAAGTCTGCAAGTGCAAAGTCTGCAAAGTCCAGACTCATTATCATTTTACAGCTGAAAACTGAAAATGGCCTGTGATTGGCCCAAAGTTTTGCGTCATGAGCTAGACTTTCTAAAGCTTGTAAACAGCCAAGAGGAGATGCAGAGGTCTAGTGTTCTTTCAGACCACTTGAAATACTTCAACTACAATATGCTAAAAGGTTATTATGGGATTTTTGCCCAGTGACACCAAACTGCCTATCCCAGATATAAATTGCAAACTTGAGTTCACCCCATGTATTTAGTAAGTTCGACAGGATAAGACTGGAAATATTCTGATTTTTGTTAATATCAACAATCATGAAATGACGCAAGCTAACAACAGGTTAGTCTATCCATGCTGTCTGACATCCCCGCTCTGTCTGTGGCTCTCAGCTCCAAGCCCATTGGTTCCTACTGAAGATGTAGATCTTTGAAAACAGTTCACAGTAGATTTTATTTTCAATAAAGGCTCAGTCATTTCATAAAACAGCTGGTAACTTTAGTTTTTCGCTTACGTTAATCAAATAGGAAAACAATGATTTATTGGAGACTATTTTCAGCAGCGGATGAATCCACATTTGGTGCTCTATGAATGTATCTGGCAGCAGGACAGTGAAGGATTCCAAATAAACCATAGTGTGTGTGTTTATGATGAAGGAACTTCACCCATTGTAATGATGTTTTCACACTGAATTTGAAGCCAATGTTTTTGCACGATTACATAGTAAGTCAATGCAAAGACATAAATTGACACAAATTTGAGGTGGGCTACGTAAGTGATGTGATATTTGTTCTACTCATATATTTGCGTGAGATTAAATTTTTTAGCTAACATTAAAAATCGGCGTGATGCTGCATTGTGAGCCTGTCAGTGATGAGATCTGGTTGAGATTCTTCTTTTGTTACTGAGTAGGCCTACTTAGAAATGGAGGACAAACTTTTTGTTGCCAACTGTGGGCACCGAGAGCTCTACTACTCAATGTCAGTGTGTGAAGGAGTATTGTGGCGTATGTGTGAGGGTACGATAGTGCGTGAGAGTGTTTGATTGTGCATGTGTGACGGTATGGTATCTTTGCATAAGAATATAGTAGTGCATGTGTGAGATTATGATGTTACTTGTAAAATTAAGTATGAATTATGTCTCAAGGGGCCTCTCATACAGTACTGTACAGAGACAGAACAAAAAAGGACAGGGCTCAGAGAAAGTGAGCAAAGCCAGAGGACTACATGGTGCGTTCAAAAAATGTGTATTTGTTACTTGCATTTTGTTGAGTTGCTATTTAGCAATGCGCTCTGATTAATTTAGGTTGGTTGTATATTGCTTAAGGTAAACAACTGAAGGAGTGAACCAGTAATGTGTTTGTGTGGACAATATGAAAAATAAAAAGTGTCTTGTCCTGTCTTGTTTCATGCTGGTTCAGAGCACAAGGGCATGTTTGGCGTGTTCATATCACTTGAATCCTATCAGTTGTACTTTACAATGAACTAAGTTAAAACGTTAGCGTTAGCAGCCTTCCCTAGATAATTAGCACAACTGTTAGCACAACTGGGGCAAATTTTTGCCAGTTGCTAAATACTCCAAAAAACACTCAAGCGGGCGTATTCTTGCAAGTAACACAAGTTTTGAGGTATGTTGTCACAAAATGTAAGGACAAAAGGATATGTATTGATAAAGATTACAGATAGTAAAAAAAGACTGTCTTTCAATAGAGTGCTAACACAGTAGCATCAGACACCACAGGCATTTCTGCTGTCTGTGAGACTATTTCCCACTTTCTTTCATAACTTCCATTTAACTTCAGTGTTTCTTCCTAATTCAGTCCCTTCCATCAGCTGTCAGGAGCTTTCTCCTGATCTGACTGCAGTAGCTGGCGGGCAGTGTGAAGCTCCCTGAAGTCATAATTACTGTTGACACATTTGTTATTTCTGTTGCAACAAATCAAACCTCTTTTGACTCATGAGAAGCCTCTGGCTTAAAGTGATGCATTTATTTTATACTGGAGCAAACTGTCAGAAAACAGTTGTCCCATGATATCATGACGCAAAACATACACACAAACACACACACACATCAACAGAACATTAACTAAAACAAAGGAATCGTGACTTTTTATTTACTTATCCATGAAAATAACATATCAAGAAAAAAAGCATTAATAATGTATAAATTAATTGCACATTACTCTATGCTTTACATATTATCATCATATCACTTTTTTGTCACCAGAGCACATTAATATGAATGGCATTAGAAAATAAAAACTGCCCTTTGCAACCTAAGGCCACTTACTCCCTTCACGAGGGAGTCCAATGGAATGGACAATACTAAGCTCCGAGTAGTTCAAGTTTGAGAAAATAAAAGTGAAAACAGACCAGTGCAAAAATGAAGCCTCAAGTTAAAGGGGAATGCCACTACATTTTCATATGTGAATATGTGTGGTGGCTCGCTCTACTAGAAATAAACCAGACGAGTCTTAAATCATCGTCTAATCTGCAACATTAACAGCACTCTAATCCGAGAGTTAGAAATGCAGAGCGGTCTTACAGATTTCTTTGCAGGGATTTTCTGCTTCAGTACAAACTGTGACAATAAACATCATTTGAATGTTGAAATGTAAATGAACTTGGTGAGTTCCGGGAGCAGACAAAGCTGCTAAGCTGATGACTAAGCATTATCTAAGTGCTTAATTATATGTTTATATGTGTGTTTTTGTTTAGCTGACATACTTTTATGGCTGTGCTGCAAAAATGCTTTATGAATGTGTGTGTGCAGGATGATAACAGAGATTAGAGACTTGGTTCTCAGACTTCCTCTTTGCACACAGCATCGCTCATTATCACTAATTCTCTCTTTTAGGCTTCAATATTAACATATGTTAAAGGGATAGTTCCGAATTTTTGAACTGGGGTTGTATGGGGTACTTATCCATAGTGAGTGTATTACATACAGTAGATGTCAGTCAGCAGGACCCCAGTTTGGAGAAGCAGGCTGGAGTTTGACATGGAAGCTAAGCAATGTACTGCTGTGGATGGGGGTCAGCAACAAAATGTATTTCAGCCACCTAAAATAAGTCCCACCTTAAAAAGTCAGTATCAGATTAAGTGTGAGCTATGCTGAGAGCATTTTCACCGCTTTACCTCACCGTCAGACAGCCCGTTCCATCGGAGAGAAAACAGTAAGTTTAGCTTGCTGGAGCTGCTGGACTACCAATACTTTGATCAGTTAGTTAGTTTGTGTTATTGTGTGACTTTGGTGAATTCGGACTAACCCCATAATAACACAAACAAAATAACTGATTAAGGCAGCAGCTCCTGTGTTTAGCAATGATAAATCACTGATTTTCTCAAAGGAGTCTGGCTTTGCAGAGAACGATGTAACTGCTCCATTTTCCAGTTGGAAATCACTGTCTTACGGCAAGGTAAAGCAGTGAAAATACTGTCATATACATTATTTTAGGTGGGACTTTATTAAGCTGGCTAAAATCCATTTTGTTGCTGACCCTTCCACAGCAGTAGATTGCTTTGCTTCCATGTCAGGCTGCTTCTCCAAACTAGGGGGCGTGCTGATTGACATCTACTGTATGTAATATAATGCCTATGGATAAGTACCCAATACAACCCCACTTCAAAAAAATCTGAACTACCCCTTTAAACTACAGCAGTGTTCCCCTTTAACATGCTGCTTATAAAAGGAAGGTAAGGATGGCGGGGGGGGGGGGGGTCATTTGATGTTACACTGACCAGATGACTAAAATAATAATAATTGAAATAAAACATTACATCTTTTGTGCCTCCCACATTGTTGACTTTAAGAGCACATTCACTGATGGGTATTGTGTCTCCATCACCGAGCATCATTTTATTCCCATGGTTGACCATGCAGCACAGAGAGCCAAACTCACATGTTTACATGCACATAGCAAATTTTCCGTAACCTGGTTGCTATGGTAACATGGTTTACTTAGAAGTATAAATGTCAAATCAGGGTTAGGATGACCTCATAAAATCATACTATAGTTGTGAGAAAGCTGTTAAGATGCCTGGTGCATTCCAACATAGAAAAACACAGCACAAGTTGAGAAAGTGCTTTCACATTTGGTTTCACACTCTCACTCTGTGAATAGAAGTGGATGTAAAAAATAAAAAAAGTTAGTGAGCTGTGTCATTAAGGACAGGAATCATCATTTTCTCCTGCTGTATTATCCGAACGTTCCAGCTGAACCTTTTCATTTCCAATTTTGCAGCCAGACTATTCGATCTTTAACCAGGAACACTGTGTGAGACCTCATCATTCAACACTCTAAGGCTCCTCTATTAGGAAAACTACAATACATCATCTCAAATGAATTTTGCTAGCATAGTAATGGCTGCAGAAAAAATGAGAGCGTGGAGGTGAAAATGGGTCAGTGCTGTGTGTCGCTGTGTTTACTCGGCTCGTCCCTGGGTACACTGTGGTCTAGCTCAAGGCACAAAGGGGGGACCTCAGTACAAACAGACAAAGGGATCTCCCGGTCTTCCTCTGCTTGTTCGTTCAGAAACACACAGACCCACATGCTGCACAGTCTCAAGGTTCCTAGCTCAGCTTGCTGCATCGGCTGTTAATATAATAAAAGTTACTACAGTCCTGGTATACATTAGTTAGGATGACATACCATATCATATTGACATATCACATTGTACTTTCAAGAAGAAAAGATCCACTCTACCCATCTATTTACACTCCAGTAGATAAAATGTTTACCTCTGTTAGCCCAATGTTTCACAGACAATAAATTCTCCGTTAAAATTTGTTAAAATAGCTTTTCTTAAATAATCTAGCTGTAACCAGTGAAGAAGTGCCGACTGTTATGGATGCAAATACTACAGGGTCTCAAGAGGTCATCAGTCATCACATTTTAAATTTTACAGGTAGTAAACTTAATGAAAGACCTAACCAGAATAATATAGGTTTTTATCAGTAAGGAGAACACTGTATCATCAAATTGCTGAGATCTGGAAACCCAACCCTCGTTAAAAAGACAACGGATTGCTGCCCATGTGGCAGAAAGTAGTAGTAGTAGTAGAAAATGTTTGCATTGTACATCTTGGCAAACCACAACCATGTTACATTTGGACATTTCATATGTATCATATCAACGTCATAATTAATCATTATTATATGAGCTGACTTTGTCATCTGGAGGTGGAGGGGATGGTGGATGGTGTGGTCTATAGCTTGTCAGGCAAGACCACTGTTGTAGACGAACAAACAACACCTGTTGTTTTTTATCGAGTCATCACTATTTCCACTGGGAATAGTGACGAAAAGCAGCTGTTTTTCTACAGAGACATTGCTGTGTTTCCAGCGGGGATTGTGCCATCAGAAGTGGGTATCTAACCACAACCAAGTGGCTTTTGTGCCTAAACATAACCATGTGTTAACTGCAGTGCTGTTGAAATGTAAAGTTTCAATCACCCCTTTTGCACTGCCTGTTCAAGATGGGAATTTCACGTTGTTATTCTGCCTCGCCATTCTGTATAAAAGATACAATTGTGGAATGAGGGGACAGAGTTGTCTCACATTTAAACAAGCAAAGGGGATGGTAACAGCACCAAATTGACGTCTGTGTAAAAAAAGAACAGCTGGTAGGGTGGGACCATGGACCGGATTGGTGTGATGTTTCGACAGTGTGTTATGTGTGCAACACACTGCTGGGAGAAAAAACTACTAACAGCAGTTAGCAGCTAACTCAAAGAAGAGGTTGAGAGCTCCTCCAAGCAGAGGACAGGATCAGCCGCCATATAACAGGGATGGTAAATGATTGTCATTACCATGTTATGCCACTGTCGACGCATATATTATACACCACACTGGAGGCTGATGCTGCTGGCATGCTGTCTAAAATCACACAGTGGAGCTGCATGATGCTGCTGTTGTTTGGTTCTGTGTAAAACTGCGTGAAAAAGGGACTTCATGGCGGCCCTGTAGCACTATGTTTGTGTTAAAAGGGCTACTGGACACATAATAACATACAAATGTAATCTATCCGTGGTTTGCAGAAACGTACAGTGCCAATACTTTTTCATGCAACTGGGTTGCAAACTGGGAAATAAACGGGAGGATCCAGACATGTTTTAAACAAATCCCCAGGTTAGACAAACTTATGTGGAGGAAGAAACAAAAAAAGTTTGTCCTCATCTGTAGAAATGTATTGATGTCACAGTGTTCCTAGATCCAGGTCTGAACAATTATTTTGGTGAATACAATGTTACCATAACCAATGGTCAAAAGAATAAAATTAAATCCCAAATTGCAAACTCTAATTATCCTTTAATTAGTATGAGAACAACAGCCGGGTAAACATAGCCCTGTCTTATTGCAAACTGCACCCCTAACAGATCTGTCACAGATCTGCCAACAGCTTGCATACTGCTCTGAAAAGGAAAAAGGATAAAAAATAATTTTGCATTTGAACAAACCCAATATTTGCACTAGTGAGATATCTTGCAGTCATTATGGAGAAATACACCTGATTCCAGATTCTGGGTTAAGGGGCTTTTAACTTCACGCTACTGCACTGTGAAGGTGCATATGACTCATCTCAGTGTTTGAATGCTCTGCAGTACTCTGTTCGTCTCTGCTGTATTCACACTATAACCCCACAGAGAAGATGCATAATTACTGCAAATCAGACTGACAGCGATTCCTCAGACACGTGGGGAATGTGGACATTTTCAGCACATGATGGCTGTGTAATTGAAGTGGCGACAGGCGGCTGCAGAGCACATCGTCTCTATCAGCGACGTCTGGCTCACTCCTGTCATTTAAATGCTTGAGCTGAAATGCAGGCACTCTGGCTTTTGTCATGGAGAAATTAAGAGAATTCCACAAACATTAAACATTTCCACCACTTAGTCATTAAAGGGCAAGATGGGGGCCTGAGAGGAGCTCAGTGTACAAAGGTGTAGCTCACTCAAACAGAATGAATACATTCATAGGCTTGCTGTGCTCAGATGAAGAAAGTTAAAAAAAAAGCACCAGCTGATGAATCCCCTAGTCTTGAAACAGAAACAAGGAGAAAATAAACCTTCTATCCTTTTCCTGTTTCCCTCCTCTTGTCCAAATAAGATACCAAGTCCAACAAGAGTGCTCGTCTGGAGCTGTCGCACAGTTTTCTCCAGGTCTGAGGGAAACAAGTGAATCAATAAGGCATCCTCTGGCTCCATTTAACTGCTCCTGACTCACCACACCTTGTTACGACCTGCAAGTCAGCCAGACCTTGGGCAAATAATGGAGTATCCTCTAATGGGCAACACACGAAGGAAGAGCAGAGAGTGGGTGAAATAGCAGACATGTAGAGAGGAAAGTAAAAAAGGAGTTAGAGAAGAGAAACGGTGGAGTCTGGCTCCCCCCACTGGTTGTAAATAAAAATGACCCCTACACATTGGCTGTGCATGTTCGGCTAAAAAAGAGCTAGAGATGTCTTGCTCTATTGAAAGGCCCTTCAAACCTAATCAGGAGAGTGGCAGGATGTGAAAGGAACAGTAGCAGCAGTAGCAGGATCAGGCCATTAAACAGGCATACAGTCCAAGCCTGGAGACAAACAGGAGCGTTTGAAAACCAGAGGCCAGCACCGGCACAGCTCACTGTAAACAACACCAAGCCTGGTTTCTTTTTTTCACAGGTTTAAATCATTCACAGATGGTCTTTTCTCCCTTTTTTTGATTCTCTGTGTTCTACTGTGATTTGGTTTTAGCCACTTTGTTGTGCATCGTCGTCTCTGTTCGGCAACAAAAGGCAAGTGTCTTGAAATATTTCTGTTGATAACTGTAGTTACAACAGTCCCAGGCCGAGCAGAATGAAGAAGCCCTTTTAGTTCAGTTCATTCAGAGGCACAGCTTCATTGTTGTGCTCCCCTTTCACTGTCTCTAAGACTAGAGGTTCAGCCTCGGGGCCACTAAGGCAAACTCTCGCAGAATGTGTCGGGCCACGTCCACTTTGTACTGGGCGATCATCAGTGCCCGCTTCACGTCCTCGAAAGAGTAACCCTCCCCCATCAGCTTGGCAATTTTGGCGTCCACGTTCTCTGACTCTAGACTGTGGGGTTTGCTCGGCTGAATGTCCGGAGGGATCTTTCTGGGCAGTGGTTTGGGCGGCCTGGCAGGGGCCTGCAAACAGTCCATCGATACTTGGAGAAAGAAGAGGAGAGAAATCATGTCAGTGGAAAAATGCCCCTGGCACACAGGCAGAGTGTTATTGGTGGTCAAGGAGAAGCTTGTCTAAAGGCACAAACTTATATTTTATTTTTACCCCTACCCTCATTTTCAAGTGCCTTTTGTCCCTTGGAACACAGTTTCAAGGGATGGTGGTTGGAATCTTCCCCTATGAAATGGGACAAGCCTCCAATACCCTAGTACCTCATCAGTAGTCACCACACGCAACTATGGCCATAATGGCATTATTACAATAACATTTGCCTTTTTTCTGATGGAGAGAGAAAAACATGTCACGAATCATTCACAATTCGAAAATCTGCTGCAGCCCAAAAACACCATTATAAAACAGACCTCTGTAAAACTGTTGACAGGACACCCTGAGCTACGAGCAAGGTCAATTATATCATATCTATTATGAATTTTTGATCCACTGAGGTTTTATATTTGTAAAACTTTCCTCGAGCCAAGAAAAGCGATTGAAAAATCTGTGATGTCATCGCAATGTAAAATCTATGAGCCAAGCGGGAACTTGTGGGTGGGGCAAGCAGGAGAAACATGACCGTGGACGTAAATCTGGAAGCTAGAAACATTGTCTGGCATATGTGGCAGGCGAGAAACTCCACTGGACTGAACAGGCGCCATCTTGGGGTTACACATCTATGACTTCTACTGTACATACAGTACCCTGCCAGCCTGCACTGCTATTAGAGGAGCGATAAGTGCAACAACTTCGCTGCTGGACTTAAGTTAAATCTCGCCATCATGCCCTCTCAAACGGGGGAATGTGACATGGAAACATGTCAAAATTGGGAACTATCATATGCTTGTTATAAAAAAGCACCATGTTACATTGAAACAACATTAAACTAAGATAATATGATGGTTACTGTAATGTTAAATCTGTATTTATGAGGAAAATACCTTTATTAGTAAGTAATCACCATCTTTCATAGCTACAAAGCAGATATTGACGTATTCACTGCACAGAAGTCTTTGATGTCCTGCTCCTCAGTCTAATACCAGAGATGGTAAAATGTGGTCAGCCTGCTTCCAGGGAAACACATTAGAAGTGCTGAAACCAAGCTGATTTGAAATTCAAAGCTTCAGGCAAACTTGACATGTCTGCTCAAAGCAACATCTACTGTCAACACTTAAAAAGAACTGCTCATGCAACATGAAACACGTTGGTCATGTTGAAGAGACTCTCCGGCCCGTGAGAGCATACATGATTCTTTCAAAAGACAGGCAGGGATTTTTTTCTTTGAGAGTAACTTTTTTTTTTTTTTTTTTACCATACTTGAGTTGCACAATTTCAATTTCAAAGCCTCATATTTTTTCCAGACCTTAATTCCAGAAAGGTTTTGATCTTTTTTGGTTTTATGTCCAGTCAGAATATGTAAGAAGACTGTAGTCCAAAACACAGACAGTATGCAGTTATATGTATATTGCAACTATATTTTACAATGTTATTGTTAAAGTCCACAAACCCAGACACGTGTGCATTTCGTTCACTAAGAAGGAGAAGTAACTCTACCTTGACTGGCTGGTAAATGGTCGTACTCCAGGCAGCCTCTGGAGCCTTTAACGTGTTCTGTGTGTCGTCTGACTGGAGGCAGAGGAGCAGCACTGTTCAGCATGTCAAACACCGTGTCTAGACACAGATGACATTAAGGAATTCAGGTAAAGAAGCCTATTGCTATCTGTCACACATCAAAGTAATACAGTGTGTATTTTCCACAATTCAGCAAACATAACAAACTCTTTACCCACTGCAAGAGAAAATAATCAAATTAGCATAACATTGTACAAGATGCACTATATTTATTCTAGGAGTTCAGGAGTTTGGCAGCTCACCGGGGGTTAACAGCAAGTGCTCGTGTCCAGATGAGGGCCTGTGTGGTCGTGCAGTGACAGAGGATGAGGATGTGGAGGAGTTGCAGAATGAGGACGAAGAAGAGGAGGAGAGGTCGATGAAACTGTGCCGCGCTGGTGGAGGAGGAGGCTGGGACGGAGGGCGGCTGTTGAAGGGGTCTTCTAATGCTGAAACACAACAGAAAGCGAGGACAAGACTGAGCTCTCTGCTCTGCTCTGATTCACACTTTATACTTCTTCCATGAGGAGGTGGCTGACGCTGCTATAAAGTCTAAACCATGTGCAGTCCCAGCAATGGGATTACATGCTGAAGAGCAACTGACATGCCGCCTGTTAGAGAGAAGCCAAGAGAGGATATTCTTGAGACATCAGAGGAGGAGGAGGAGGAGGAGGAGGAGGAGGA